GCGACTCATCCTTCTGTGATATAGCCCAGCAAGCTACCAAAAAGCTCAATGTTTCCTTTCTGTTGATGCTTGTACCTATTCTGGTCTGTAACACCCGTATACACAGATGAGAGAAATATAATATAACCGCGTAAGAGCTTTCATCGGTCTCATCACAAAGCTGTTGAATCAGTCTAGGAAGATAGACTCGAAGTTGATCACTTCTGTCACATCGATGACCTGTAATAGCGGCCCACTCTGTGCAAATATCCCGGTCGAGACTGTTAAACCAATAGTATCCGCAACGGCATGAGCTGACCATGAAGTTCTTACCTGAGCAGCCATATGTTGGCATCTTAAAACAAGCTGCCTGTACATTTCTCGCTTCATGTGAGTGTCCAGGTACATGGTATTCGGTAGCTCGTGTCGGAGAGCTGGGTGAATTTGACGAGCACCCGTGATACTATCGTACGGGCGTGGATCATACGTTGCCAAGGGAGCTATAGGTATAACACCCCACGTCTCAGCCATCAGCGGAGGTATTACCAAGGCTGGATATGTTTAGCTCAAGTTTTCAGCTAGAGGGATATGTAGGGCAATCGTACGCGCGATAGCTTTCTAGTTGTTTGCAAGGCATGTGATTCTGCCACTCACCACAGTCCACAGCTTAAGTAGAATCTCTCCCCCACAGCAATCTTACTCCTCATCCCTCTCGCACATCGATACTGCTGCCCCTATTGTAGCCGTATCCCATCACTAGTGATCAAGTAATATCACTATTTCGTGTACCAAGTACACTATCTATTGTATTTTCCACCCCGCGGCTTATCAGCACTTACTCCATACGCGTCGTGTTTGATAGAAGAATCTTTATATTTCATTTTCTGGCTTAACTTGTCGGAGAAAGAACTAGCTATCCTAGGATCAAAGTGGTCTTAGGACTGAAAATGTGCCTCATCAGAGGCCACAACAACATTCTTAATTCTATACACAGTGAACACCGCGCCAGTATCGCAGCTTAATTCACACAAGCATCCCAACCAGGTTTATATCAGGCTTGCCAGCATCGCAGCCAGATCTGTCACGTCTAGCCAATCATTGGCTAGGGGTCAATACCATAATACCATAAAAGCTAGGTAAGGCGCGAGTCTATACGTCACGTATTTTGTGTTTTCTACAACGCTATTCCAGAACGCCTTTCCCCCTAGGAAAAAAAAGAATACTAATATATGGGCCAACCCACCCCCTTAAGCGTACATCCCAAGGAACTTAGCCGAAACTATTGTTGTTGTGTCTCTGACTAGACACAATAATATGCTGTTACGGACTACGGACTACGGTACTAGTAGTTATAGATAGCCGTAGCCATAGCCGTAACGTGACGTTATAAACAACACGCGCGATACTTATACCGCATTCGGGCTTACCAGAACAGAAGTTCTGGTAATATTTGGTCTTTTCGCTTGTTTGTTTGGTGAACCCGGCTACTGCTTTGACATATACCATAGAATTCGATAAAGTGTAGTCGAAAAAATCGTCCAGGAATGACAATGAAGCATAGTATGGGAAAGCGAGAGGAATTACGAAGGCTATTTACTGAATTTCCTCAAATATGATATAAATTAGACCTTGCCAAAGCTCGCGAGCGCGGGCTTAGGGCTCGCGGGTACGACCTTAGGTCCTTAGCTCGCGACCTAATTGTCAGTCTCCTCTGAATCCTCTGGCTGGTTGAATTACGCCCCACGTCCGCTCTTTCATGCCAGGTAATGAGTATTAACATTAGAAAACGTGTGATTATATCTTTGCACACACTTTTTGCACACATCACTATTGTTTGTTGACAGAGTTGGAATAATTTGGATACAGTAGCGACAGCTTCACTCGCAGTTTAATTTGTGAACACATTTCATAAATTTCGATATAGATCAAGTTTATGCCTTGGATGTTCAGCCATACGTAACTACATACTCTCACCTTCTTACTTGTACATATAGTGTACCAGGGAACCCCGTAGGTTCTGGACGATCATATCTCTGTTTATAGACCTGTGCTTATAGACCTGTGTTTATAGACCTGTGTTTATAAATCTCTGTTTTTTGATCTCTGTTTTTAGATCTCTGTTTAAAGATTAAAAAGGCAATGGCCTAATTCTGGCGAGGCTTAATGGATGAGGTGTGACAGGATTCCAAGAGTAACTCCATTTAGTCCGCAAAGATATAAGGTATCTCTGTTAATCTCGGGACCGCTAGAGCCGTTTGTGGACACAGACAGTACTTTCTATTCCTCATATCGAACCCCTATAAGTTTTTAGTCAACAACCTTAATTTGGATTTCTTGATCGATGAAAAGTCATAGTGATGGCCTATGGATGGAGTTTCACACGAAGAAAAACCATTAACCCCCCTAACTCTGGAGTCTAGCCTCGATAAGCATACTATTGAACCTTTCTCTCTGTCATCTCCAAGTTCTGTATGCAGGAGGACCAAGCTTTCTGCGCGAAGATGGCGACAACTCCCTATTGAATGCAAAACAAATCATGACGACGGCATCAGTCTGACAGGAGGAAAAACCACCCAGTACACCAGTCGGGAAAAGAGTATAGTTAGAAAGCAGAGTACTGTCAACATTTTTCAGCTGCGGTTGCGAGCAAAGGTTTGATTTTTCTGCTATTTTTAGTAAAGAAATTCTCCAGCACCTAAAGAAGATCAACACAGAAGATTCTCCGTGGCAAGATGAATTTGACCGTCGTCTCACTACTGTCTCTTGCTAAGAAAATACATTATCTTCTCAATTAACCACTTTGATTTCGACGGATACAGGCGCGAGATACAGTATTTGTTATTCCAAGCCCATATAAGCTACACAACGCAGTTCGAAATCATAATCACGAGCGGTGGCAACCTGTATTTACTACTCTCTAGTGACTCTAACACCTGTTTCGATAGAAAGTCTGACAAATTTAACTCACTGTAGAGAACCTTCCCTTGATACTATTGCTTTACTTAAGAGTGAACTTCACATCTTGTCGTGAATGTCCACTACCAAGCAAGTCCTGATCACAAGCTCGGAAAAGAGCAGCGCTCATGCATCGTTCTTGCCAGAATCCACCAGGTAACTCTACACTTAGGATCCTCTTATAAGCGACGGCTATAGTTGACTATTCAGAGGTATTACCTGTGGTATAACAGATCTGCGCGTCACAGCGGAATCGGCACAAGACAATTTATCGCCCTGCGAGGACCACCAGACAGAACAACCGAGCACGGCAAATTCGACAATTGTCGTGTGTAGTAGCATCGCCGCTGGCTTGGTCGTACTAGGAATTTTGTACGCTCTTCTGAGATACAGAGCGCGGAAGCGAAAGATAGCGCGTGGTGGTCGAAGTGCTCTTTCCATCGCTGCCGAATACAGAAAGTTGATTGGCTTGTGAATCTAGCGGTCGTGGAGTGGTTGAACGAGGCTCGCTGAGAGAATTTTCGGCGTTGGCGAGTTTCTGCCAGTAAGTTGCCAATTTCGCTAAGACCTGCCTTACTACCTTAGAACAGCGGTCACGTTTTGAGGCATATAAATCAGGGCAATTTTCAATTTATGATATCCTTGATAGATGTTTGGTCATCTTTAACCATGCCTCTACGCCCAGAAGGATAGGTAGGGTACAGGGCATGACTTTCTCGCATACTGCGCACAAATAACCATATCGCGTGCGCCACTACAATATACTGACTTAGAATACACAATTTAAACACTGGAAGATGCAGGATTCTTGACTAGTAAGGAGGCACTACACACGCAGGAAACACATACCCACGCACGGAGTGTAAATCTCAAGTCAGTTCTCACCACCAGTCTCGTATTGGCAATGAAGACTTTCGCTGACCAAAAGGAAACTAATGATAATGTCCTCACCACTTCGTAGCTTCGGTCGCAATCATCAAATATCATTACCTGTATGTGTACAACCCTTCGCTATAAACTTCGATACCGTTCTCTATCCCCGGGACGTTCCTCTGCCAGAAGCTTCCGGGACTTTTTCTTTGCTTTCCGGAATTGTCCCTCGGTCTGGTAGCTGTGCGTAGCGTGGCGGTTAGAAAAGCAGTTTGCGTGACCAACTTCGATCTTGGTTCCAGGATAGTCTTTGTAGCGGTGACGCAAGCAAGACCGATAACCCGCTTCCTCTTTGCAGATACACCACTCGTAAAAAATGTAATATTAAATGCACGTATTGACAATCGTTGTATGATAAATAGCGAGGAATGCGTCAGCGTTTTCGTGCAATCTAGACAAGATTCGGCCGCGTACACTTGAAGGGAGACCGCGTTACCAGTGGAAGGGGGCTTATGGTATCATTATCTGGTGGATAAAGCTAATCTACCAGTAACTATTTATTTTATTGGAGGCTCTTCAACGTCAGAGGGAATGAAAAAGGTATCTAAGTAGTATTTTTTATTAATTTCCGAGCCACGGCTGGGCGTCAAATTGAACGTTGTCCATCAGAGCCCGCTCAGGCGGCCTAACACCAGGTTTTCTTTCTAAAGATGACTTTAATGTTATCAATAATACGGTGCGCTTTCAAATTATTCTCGCTTAAAACTATCAAATTTAACTAGTTGCGGGTAATTCCTTGTAGGAAATCATTGACCTCCAGCCACCCTGTGACCCAAGCGACCCTTCTACAAGCGCCTTTGACATCTAAGAAGATTACAAGGTGGACATCCTGAGTTTCGCCGATAAGCAGATTTCATTCAATTTGAATTTCATTGAGCCGGCGCGAGTCGACCACCTCATGATCTCCAATTCAAATCTCACGATATAAGACCCCGTAGAGAATACGTTCATGCCTGGGTGAGACTGTTTGGTTGCCGCTAAACATCGTGCAAGCAGTATCTTAGGGGGTACCAGTCGCTGTGATGGTGACAGTGACGGTCCCAGCACTCGCATGTTTTGGCAGCGCCGTATACAGACAAGACTCTGCGTGAAGTTGATATGACTCGTGGGTGGCTTTTTTTTCACAATGCCCGGAATCATGGCCCACGAACCTGCTTCGTGCACGCCACGATTCTCCCTTTTTCTGTAGCACCCACGGTAGAGGTATAAAGACAACTATAGTCACCGCGCACGTGGTCATCAGCCAAGAAAATCCCATCCAGTCGATCATTGGCGCTGTGAACAATGGGAAGACTGAGGAAAGCAAGTATCGTATTGCGATGTCCACCGCCAGAGATGACGCTCCATACTCGATGCCATAGATTTCGTTCTTGTAGACCGGGTAGGAAAGCTTTGTGGACGAAGTTAATATCAAAAGATCTCGCACTAGATGTCAAACGGCTTATTCATACCTGTTCCATCGCAAATGACCATCCATGCGCCACAAGTGAAAGAAGAGGCCAGATCCAGTGGACCGTTGGTCGCATAGTCCAGCCAAGCCTAGCCGCTAATTAGTTATACTTCAGGCCGTGAGAACATAATTGCCAATAAGGTCACATACCAGATCAGGCTGATGGGAAGTAAGATTCCAGCGACTTTGACTCCAACAAGACTGTCCTCCGGGGCTGGTTGACGTAGAGACCGCTTCCATCTATCTTGCACAGCCAGCGCAGGTACTGCGAGCAGCGTGCCGACCATGAACGGCAAAAATGATAGTCCGACGTGATAGGGGGAGAACTGATAGGTCTGTGTCAAGACCACTGGTAGGCTGACATACAGAATAAAGAGTACGATTTGGCTTGTTGTCACAACAAGCGCAGTCGGCCAGATGACGGGCTCGAACCAGAGCAGCTCCAAGGGGCGCCTAAGCGCAGGCACGAGTGCTTCCACCAGTCCTCGTCGTGGCGCATTTTGCTCCTGCCGCACTATCTCGATCTGAAATGTCTCTGGCGTGAACACCATGCCAGGAAAGCATGACCCAGCGAGCACAGATGTGAGCCAGAACGATGATCGCCAACCGTAGGTTGCCACGATAGACTCGCCAACAATAGGACCGAGAGATGGTGCGATTGCGCCTCCCAGCCCGTACATAACGAAGGCGAGGACGCCCAGCCGATCGCTAGGAATGTTCCACATATCATTCAGAACGCCAGCGAATACGCTGACAGACGGCGAACCGGCGACGCCAGCGAGCGCACGGGACACTATAATTGTGCAGTAGTTCTTTGCAAAACATCCCATGATACTGAAAATAGTAAGTAAGAAAAGCGAGACCTTGTAGATATATTGTCTGCCAAATTGCTCTGATAAGGCAGAAGTGCATATTGGCCCGAACACGAATTCTAAGCCGTACAACGTGACTGGTAGAATGGCCAAGGTTTCTCGAACGTGAAACTCGACCATGATCCCCGGTATACTGGCAACGTAAATTGAGGTGGCGAGAGTACTGGGTTGATTTTCAGCAAAGTGACTTGTACCGCTTGACATGGGTTTCGCTCACATCACCGAGAAACTCAGTATAGCGCCAAACGAGACTATTATTTTTTTTGCTGGTTCTCCAGCTTCGCGTGATGTTCACCTCGCATCTACCTTGCTCATAATGGCGTACGTCGCTACCGGGCTGTGAGTTTGCCATCTCAGAAGGTGATGTATAGGTATAGAAAATTGTTGATTCAAAACGAAAGCGTCGTGACCTCTACTGTTCGGGTACAGGAATTGAGGCTATTTACAGTATGAAAACAGGTCGGAGTAAGAGATTCTACAATGGGGAAGATAGAAGCTGAGGACAATAGACATGGTCAGATCCAACCATGGTATCATCATCGCTAATTTTTTACTGAGCAAAGCCAACGAAATCATTCAATAGAATAAGCAAGTCATTTCGTGATCTCCTACAGCAATCGCTCAACAGCTTTTCAAAGGTAGAGGAAGGGGCTTCCTCACAATACAGCAATTCTCACGGTCGTACTACACATAGTCTTACCGCGCGCATCTGAACAATTGCCGGGTGGAGTAATGAAAAACCACAAGTCATGTCTCATCAAGTGAAAAAGGTACTCAGCAAAGGAGGCCATCGAGAAACGCACAGAGAAAGATCGCGAAATAATGATGGAATTTAGAGAATCCCACTTTGAGTGCCGGCCTGTTACCGACTTAAGATAATAAAGAACCGGATACTCAAGGGCCAGATAGATGCAGAATCAATGTTTTGTGGTCGGTACTTGTGGGGAGGTTTAGCAGCAGCGGACCTCTTATCTTTACGAAAATTATATATTATTGCCGATCTGTCTCGTGTAGTTCTTGCTGCTTTCAACACCGGATAAGACACCATTCGCATGAGCTAGAATAGCACCATCACCAATACTCCGTGGATTCTTGACATCCATAATTGATCAACCATCTGGTTCAAGTTCCGTTGAAGAGCAAGCAGAAGTTCAACCACTATGTATATCGTCCTTCTGGCCGTATGCGTGCTGTCGATGTTCACAAGTACTCATGCCTTCGTGATCCAGTCGGTGTCACATTTGCTCGCCCGGTATCCCATATTGACAGTCTATACAACACAAATGGTGACAATCATCAGCTGTGCACCGACGGTGACCGATTGCCCTGCCGATAGGACATCGAGTTTTCCCTCAGTGACATCGACGGTAACTACACTGTATACAAGCCCCATCGCCACGGTCTCGACAATTCGGTCAGAGCCTCAAGGCTCGACATGAACGATATGGAGTCTTCTTTCTCAAACAACTGCCACCGCAACCCTCAAAGAGAGTACGAGCTCTCGTGTACCCACACACGCAACCAGCTCTGCTGCTTTGATGAGTTGTACAGCCGGTGCAATTGACTGTTCTTCCGAGACAACACGGGTCTCCACTTCTATACAACCTGCAGAAAGTTCTGAAAACCTGACCAGCAGCAATTACGGTCTTACCTCGATTTCGCCTTCCATATCTTTTCAGAGCCCCAGCACCCTCGCTCCGACAGCCGTATCAACAAGTCTCGTCTTACAGTCCTCGCTGTATCAGCATTATTCTACCGCTTTGGTCAGCTATAACGAAACATCCGAGACGCAGTCAAGCTCCATCATTTCGATTACCACAACCTCTTCTGCATTGAAAACTAGCGATAGCCAAGGCTCTTCCAAAAGCAGCTCTCTTTTGACTGAGTCTGTTTCAACGAGCCTAGTCAGCACGAGGGAATCACATCCAGTACCGATTGTTCAATTAAACTCAATCAATCGATGGCCCTTTTCCTGTGAATACTTATGCAACCTCAATTCAAGCAGGCTCAGCTTCGACAACGAATGAGATGACAACTACGAGCTCTGTGTTCCATATTAAATCCACTGTCACTCTCTTGTCGTACGGTACTACTACCATCTGTACAAGATATATCACTGTGGACGCTTTGCTGAACTCAGCTGTTCTCCCATGCCATTGATCACCACATCTACGCAGCAAAAACCCTTCCAATGAATGAAGCTTTCTCATTAGACTTGTGTTTGTTCTGCTTGATACCGATAACCCATATCAAGTAGAGATCTCAAGATAAACTGCTAGTAAGATGTTCATTGGTTACAAATAGTTCCGCTGAATAGCGTAATTTTGACACGGTGGCCCGTGTCAGTCGGCTTTTGTACCGAGCCAGTTATTTCCTTTGGCAAGATCAACGCAGAAGCGTAGCTTTCAAATTATCAAATAATTACGTTGAGCGGGTCATCACGTGTTAAATGGTGCACGATCTAGCTGTGTTAGCCCAATCCTCAGGTCAAAAGATAGGCCTGCTCATCAAATATTTTCAAAACCTAGCGGGGTCTTTAGATGGTAGAACAGTAATATAGGAGAAATTCGTGGAGTAATAATATGACTGTGCCAACATCAAACTTCGGATTATATGAAAATAATGCTCCCATCTGATTGATAAGCAAATGTCATGATATTTCGGAAAGAAGAGCAGACATGTGACGCGGCTCTGAGTTCACACAGGGTCACAAACTTGAAAGCACAACGAATGTGTTCTGGGGGCCATGTAAATGAAAAATCGTTGAAGTCGCGGGCACTTCCAAATTTCAAGATTCAGCTTTTCAATGAACCCCCTCACAGAGACCTGAAAACCTCTGCCAAACTAGCAGATACACTATCTATCTATACTTCAAGGTTGGTTTCGAGCTTCTTGGTTATGATTTGGAGATCCGTTTCTGCCCTGGGCTTCATCATACTACAACAGTGATTTCGCATCTTAGGTCTCAAGACTTCGCCCTCAATTCCACACTGTGCCTGTTTTTTTGATAGTCATGCGTTTCCCAGGAAATTGCCAAAGCAGCTAATAACAAGCAAATCATATCCACATTCCTAACGATTCGCACATAAGCAATAGTAAAGTACGTTACGCTATGATGATCTTTTCAATGAGCAATTTCCGAATAGATAGTGGGAGGATATTCAGTCAAATAGTCGCCATAGCAGGTGATCGGCGCTGACTTTATGAAGCTCATGGTTTCTGGGTCAGCGCGTCTTGCACAAAAACCTAAGCCACTACCTTTTTATTGCAATTCTGCACGCTTGTTAACAAATATCTCGAACGAGCCAAGATAAGGCTATAGCACAGGTCGGTGGTATTGAAGGCGTGGCCAGTGCTTTTGTCATTTTCTACCACAACATTTGGGAAAAATTACAATTTCTAACAATTTTTCATAGATGGCAAGCTCTTGCGGAGGCTGTCAAAATCAGTGGAGTTACCAGTTCACGTCTCACCAAATCTTGATGAAGCATCAGCAGTAATTTACCCTAATATAGGATACCACGGGCTCCAAATTCCTGGTGACCAACACTGGGATCTGACTGCTACTGGTCTTGCCTGGAATCAAGAGTGGTGTGTCGTACATATGGAAACTGGCGGGATCTTGGAAAATCACGAACATCGCCGGTTATTGCAAATTTATCCATGTATCATCAGCTCACAGCAACTTCTCCGACTTTCCACGGAGTTTTACTTGACGCGAGATCAGTTCAACATTGACATCCCTCTTCCTTTGGGGAGAGCGGGCCCTTGCCAATACTCCAAAGACACGCTACAAACGTACGATGCAACGCCCATCGTTTTGTTCTTTACCAGAATAGTGGGCGTACCCTGTACTCTGGCACATAATAAGCTACCTGTGAGAGGAAGAGAGAGATCCATGTCTCTTTTAAACTAATGAGGAGATATCTTTTCGGAAAGACCAAAGGCGGCAATTGAATGCGACTGACTTTCGCACCCAGTCGAGTTAATGGCCTTCCTTTGAATCTCGCAATTTTTCTCGCCCAAATTCAGGTAAATATCGCTGTGACCCACATAAATCAATTCCTTTTCTTACCATTCTTCATCTCTTGAAATTTGTCAGGATCTTGTTGGGATCTGTATCTCACGAAATCAGTATGTTTGTAGTCAACGGCAGACGTGAAGAGGGTTGAACAGTTATATCTTGGTAACGTAATTCCCGGCCAAGCGGCACACCCGGTCAAGCGGCACACCCAACTGAAAATCGCGTCCAACTACCTATTGAAGAGGGGAATGCTCAAGGCAGTCTGATCTCACCAGACAGGTCGAGTCATAGAGGAACCAAACCAAAACCACAAGCAAGCAAGTCTCGGAATCCTCCAAGATGATCGCGTAGTCCGATATCAGGAACCATAGGCAGGAATCAAAAAAAAGTGTGACATTCCAAGTGTAAAGAATCTGACTGTAAAGACCGTCCAGACACAAACTGTTGATCAGACCGAGAGGTGGTTGATATCTCTCCATCCCGAATCCCGCATCGTAAGGACTAAATAACACCTCCTGACTGTAAGGCCATCAGGCACCCGCACCTCTGCAGGAAAAGTACTCTAAGTACATGCAACCGAATCCCCCAGTACACTATCTACCTTCTTCAACCGCATACCATGCCACCAATTCGCACTGCATTTCGACAGAAATTGGCCAGTCAAGAGGGCAAGATTCTCTTAGCCCTTGACAATATCAAAAATGGCCGCATCAAATCGATTCGCGCAGCTGCAAAGCTCTACGATATACCCTACAGAACTCTCGCTGCTCGCGCGAGTGGCAGAGTAGCACGCGTTGATCAACGCCCATCTAGTCATAAACTGACCCAACTAGAAGAGGATTCGCTAGTTGAATGGGTTATCTCCATGGATACGCGTGGAGCAGCCCCTAGGCCAGCTACTGTACGAGAAATGGCTAATATCCTACTGGCTGCC